AAAAAAAAAAAAAAAAGAACAGACTGGGCTTGGTGGCTCAGCCTATAATCCCAGCACTTTGGGAGGCCGAGGCAAGTGGATTGCCTGAGCCTATGGGTTCACGACCAACCCAGGCAACTTGACAAGACCTCATTTCTACAACAAATAGAGAATTAGCTGGGTGTGGTAGCGTGCGCCTGTGATTCCAACTACTTGGAAGGCTGAGGCGGAAGGATCACCAGAGCCCAGCAGGTTGACACTGGAGTGGCTATGAGCGTGCCACTGCACTCCAGCCTGGGCGACAGAGTGAGACTCCAACTCAAAAAAAAAAAAGAAAGAAGAAGAAGAAACTGTGAGCAGTAACAATACTTTGTAAAAGAAGAGTAATGAGGGACACTGGTCTTAGCAGGTGTCAAGCACACTATAGAGCTGCATCATCAAAACAGCTCAGTGATAAGATGACCCCATGATAAACCAACCAGTGGAATCTCAAAGGGTGGTGGCTCAGAAACAGCCTGATACATGTGGGAGCTCCTTATATTATAAAGGTGGCATTTCCAATCAATGGGTGAAAGACAGCTTATTTAAAACATAACATTGAGAAAGTGTTGTCATTCAGAAGGATTCCCTACCTCCCACCATGCCACATCATTTCTGAATGTAGTAACCAAAGTTGTAAACATATTAGAAGGAAATTAGAGAATATTTTCATAAGATAAGGGTAGAGGAAGGTCTCCTGAGAGATGAAGCCCCAAAACCACAAAGAAACAATTAGACAGATTCAACCGCATCAAACTTTAGAGCACACATATATGTACAGTGAGGTCAACACAAACAAAGACACAAGCAAGAGACTGCAGAGAGATAGTTGCACAACATAAAACATGGGGAAGAGTCATGTCCCTAATACACAAAAGGGTCATACAAATCAGTAGGAAAAAGACAAACGCCACAATAAGAGGACGGGCAAAGGACCGACCAGGTGATTACAGAAGAAACACAAATAGCTGACAAACATAGAAGACATTGAGATTCTTTTTTTCTACTAGACTGGCAAAAACTCTTCAAGTTGAATAGCGTTCACTGAATTTTCAGAGGCAGCTATTTCCTTGTAAGTAGATTTCCTCTTGCTTGGCCACCACTTCTTGGAATCAATCATACATCCATAACCACTTGAGCCCACAAAGGTATGAGGATAAAAGTGGTCACTTCAGGGTTGCTAATGAAAAAAAATTGAAAACAAACCCCTACATCTACTGATAAGGGATGGTTAAATAATTTACATTTCACTCATTCAGGGAAATAAACAGACATTGAAAACAAAAGGTTGACCTAAACACACTAACCTGGAAAGATACGGTTGGTGAACTCTTCACTAAAAAGAGTCAAGTAGCAAACTGATTTGTTGGCATTGTCTAAGTGCCCCACGGACCAAGGGCTTCACACAGATTATGGAGCTCAACCCCTCAAAGACAACTTGTTGAGACAACTTAAACTCTTTTAGAGATGAAGAAACTGACTTAGCAAGAGCTGGCAACTTGGAAGTGGGGGAGCTGAGAGGCAGTAGCCTGGCTGGTTCTACTTCCTGCCCCTTGCCTGCCTGTCCCTCCCTAGAAACCCCTCCTCCTGAGTGCGAGGGGAGGCAGAGGTGGAGTGTGTTTCCTTCCAATTTTGTATGAGTCTTCAAAGAGGTGGAAGAATTTCACCCCTTTTCATGTTTTTAAATACCTCTCTCATATTAAATTCAGCACACAAAGATTTACATGAAAACTGGCTCAAACTTCATCCTGGTGGGATGGCAACTCCATGTCCTCCCTATACCTCCGCAGCTTCCATGGGGTTTCCTTCACCCTGGGGCTTCACTGACTCTGGTTTCCTGCCCCTTATGCATCTCTGCAGTTCCCAGGTCTCCCAAAACACCAGACACAAGCAGAGGGCAGCACACTTTACTGAAGAGGGGAGGGGGTACTTCGCAGAGCAGCAGATGACCCTCTATGGAAGTCTCTCGGCTGTGTCCACCGACCAGGAGTCAACACCAATCTCCAGCGAGGATTGTAGGCTCCACCCACTCTCTTCCTGACACACCAACCCTGGACCCCAGATTCCTCTTCATTGCTCATGTAGAGTCTCTGGGAGGAATGCCAAGGTCAGTTCTTACAGGAAGCATTTCTTTTCCCACGGAGGCTGGGACCCAGCAGTGACCATAAGTCTGGGTCAGTCACAAGTGGCATGGGGAAGTACTGGCCAAAGACCAATCTCCAGAGAAACCCTGGGGTGTCTGCCAAGCATTGCATGGTGAGCCTGGGCTATAGGAAAAGTCACCGGTGGAGCATCTAGCACAGTGGCCAGTGGGTGTGGGAGGCTGGGCTGGACTCAGGGATGCAGGAATGAAACTGGAGATCCACAGCTGGACCAGGAAAGCATCACCCAAATATTTCCCTGCCCCCTCCCCACCCTGCAGTGTCCAGTCCACCTGTGCCAGTCGACACAGGTGTCGGCTTTCTCAGCCCCTGGTCACAGGAACTGGTCTCAGGTTCCCACCCATGCTGACACCAACTCAGGGCAGGCAATGAGGAGTGGGTGTCCAGTGAAGGGACAGAGTCTGAACAGGCTCCGCTCAGCCTGAAGCAGCCCCAGCAGCTCTCAGTCTGGAGGCTCAGGGAGCTGGCCCCCGGGGTCTGATCACCTCAGGGCTGAGAGTGCTGGAGAGGGAATGAGAGATGACTCATATGCACTGGCACATCCATTGTGAATGCCATTTCTGTGTCAGACATTGAGTGTCTGTGGACATGTGTGAGCATGCACACATGCACCAGGACCCAACAGTTTGTGCTGATGTGATATGCATGCTTCAGTGCATATGTGTGGGGATGCCTGTGGTGTGAGCATGTGAATGTGTGAACAGGGTGGGCACAGGTGTGTGTGTGTGTGTGTGTGTGTGTTTGTGTGTGTGCGCGCCCATGCACATGCTGGCCATGTGAGTGCTGCCATGTTTGTGTGTATCTGTGGGCACATTTGGCCTCTGTGCTGGGTGCACACACAGTTCCAGTACCTCCCCCTCAGGCCCGCACAGTGATCTTGTTCATCTCAATTCTCACTGCATCACACCCCAAGTGCTCCCAAACCTTACCAGGCCTGAGCAGACCACCCCACACCCTTTCCCTGTACCCTTAAGAGCATGGCTGAGCACCCACCCTGCCTGCCAGCTCCCTTTTCTGCTTTCTCAGCACCTTTCCGCCAGACCCCCTTCCCAGCCCCCCACACCCAGGCTCAGACCCGGGTCTCAGGACTCAGAAGTGACTTTATTTCTCGGTAGAAGATGCCCTTACAGCTAAGCTGTTGGGCTGTGCCTGGTTTGGCTTCACTCCCTCTCCAGGACCTGGGGGTCCCAGCCCCCTACCCTCACCCCCAGGCTTCCTGCCTAGACAGCCTGGTTTCCTGGAGATATCCAGCTGCCCAGGACTTGGAGCTGGTGGAGAGACAAGGAGGCCTCACATCTGGGGAGGGGTAAGAGCCACACGCCATGTAGCTGGGCCAATGCTGCCCCCAGCCCTAGACAGGCCAGACTGGGAAGGGGGCAGTGACAGGCTCAGGGGAAAAGCTCAGAAGCCCGAGGGGGCGGAGGGAACCTCAGGGCCCTGCCCAGAGGAGGGCAGGTCCCAGGCTGAGCAAAAGCCCCCCAGCCAGGGCCCAGGGGCTCCGCCCCGCCCTGGCCACCCCATTGCACAAATCCTTCTCGCAGCAGTCCACGTCGACTTTTAAGATCCCAGAGTTAATAAACCCCATCAGATAGTCTGAGAAAAAGTGTCGCTTAACGAAGTCACAGGAAGAGGCACACATCTTGTTCACGGAATGATCCTTCCTGCCTGGGAAGAAAAAGTGGGGCCTGGGATGGGGGCTCCTTCTATGCCCTTTCTGCCTCGACCCCAAGCCCAAGCCCAGGCCCCGCTGGGTCAGTTCGGGATCCAGATCAGCAGAGCTGAGGCCCTCCACCCACCTACACTGTCCCCAACTATATGGAAAGGACCACCAGAAAGCCAGGGAGGGACAAGCATGTGCTTACTGCCACACGGCAGGGTAGTGTCCTGCCTGCAGACCCGTGCTCTCTCCGCAGACCAGAGGGGCTCAAGAGACACCTCTGACCTCTCCCAAGAGCCTGACTTTCAGCAGCCACAGTCCCACCCTCACCCCAGATCCCAACTTACTGCTGCTGGGGTCGGTGATTCGGACACTGGCGCACACGGTGTCTGACGGCAGGCACTGCTTCGGGGTGCAATGGCTGGAGTTGGTGGTCAGGGTGCAGTCCTGGCACCACAGGCCATGAGCTAGGCAGGGCATGGGCAGAAGGGTGACCAGAGGCACTAGGGGCCAGGTCAGCCAGCCTCCTGCATCCCCCGTTCCTCCTCACTGCTGCAGGCTCCCCTAGCAGAACCCTGCCCCTGGAGGCTCAGGTTCCCCACCCCACTGGAGTGAGCAGGCCAAACTGACCCCTGAAGACAACTTGTGACCACTCCTGGCAGTTTGGGGGAGGGCCGGATCCCAGACTCTGGGAGCTCCTGCGGCTCCTCCTTGGCCAGCACGCAAGTACACATGCCCACACCCACACCTGGCCACTGAATCTCACACCTACAGTGCAGCCTGCACACTCCTACCCCACCTCACACATCCCCCCAAGGTTCTGAGGGTTTCAAGTTATGAAGGACCAAACTGGATTTGAATGGAAGCCCGGTGAGGCTCTAAGAAGTGATGGAGCACCAGAAGCGCGGGCACTCAGGAGCATGGGGCATCCGTGCACGACGAGCTGCCCACGGGTGCCAGGCCAGGTAGGGTGAGCGCTAGGTGCCCTCAGGTGCTGGGAAAGACCTGCTGGAGCAGAGAGGGCGCGGGCTGGGCTGGCGTCGCAGGGGTCCAGGAGGGGGGGCGTGAGCTTTATGGGAAACGCCGTGGGAAACGTCGGAGGATAGCGGCTCCACATCCAGATTCTCTCCGGAGCGGCTGCCGCGGGCTCTCCCGGGGACCTGAACCAGCCCCGAGAGTCCCTCACTCACCCGGCGCGGAGCACAGCAGGATGGCCAGCAGCGCCAGGCTGAGGCCCTTCATGGCTGCAGGCAACATGCTCCTGGCGGGCCTAGGGGCGGCGCGGAGGCTTCGGGCAGGGGTCCTCAGGGGCGCAGGCCTGGCAAGGAGAAGCCTTGGTCTGGAAATCCAGCCTTCGGCCGAGCCCCAACAACCTTCTCCTTTTCTGGCTTCAGGACGCAACCTTCTCCCCAGAATCCAAGGCCCGGGGTCGGCCTCGAGCTCTCAAAGCCCCACCCCCAGCCCATCCCCCAGAGCGTCCACCATCACAGCATCCCCATGGGGAGAAAAGGTCTGCCCTCTCGGACGAGGTGACAGCCAGAAATGTCCCCACCCCGAGCCCGGCACCTGTCGGGGGGTGGAGTTGACCGGGATGGGAGGGCGTCTTCTCCTCCCTGGGGAGCTGTAGGTGCGTCCAGACAGGAATGGGCAGCAGGAGGAGGGAAGGGATGGTACCTGCCGATGGGGGAGGGGCGCGAGCCACGTTCCCACTCCCACCCCTGGGCTGGGGGGCTGGGAACCCCGCGCCGAGTCCCCTTCCCTGGTCTCCCTCGCGCGCCTCCGCGCTCACCGCGGGTCGGGGTGTGGAGCGCGGGGCTCGCGGTCGGGGGGCGCACTCACATCCCTGGGGTGTCCGCACTCCGGGCTCGGGCGGCGTGCGCGGCGCGGGGAGCGATGCCCTTCGGTCTCCCTGCGGACCGGAACCCGGGCGCAGCCTCGTCTTTCGGGGAACGCAGCCGCAGACGCGGACCCCGCGCGAGGGGCGGGGCGGAGCTGGGGCGGGGGCCGCGCGGGGGGCGGGGGCGGCAGGAGACGTGCAGGGCGGGGGGCGCCCGGAGCTCGCGGCCTCTCGGCAGGTCGCTGGCCAGGCCCTCCCGCGCCCCCTCGCACGCGCGTGCGCTCGCTCCCTCGGGTTTCCGCTCCCTACACCGCTGCGCCCCCCTCCACTCCTCTCCCACCTCCAAGTCCCGCTACCCAGGCGTGGGCAGGATCCCTTCCCCCTCTGCTTAGCTGAGATCCCCTTGGAATTTCTCGGAAGAACGTTTATTGCGAAAAGAGGCAAAATGCACAAAGACGCAGAGAGGGAGGGAGGTAACAGCCGCGGTGATGCGCGCAGGTCCCTATTCACAGACCGCTGGGATCAGACTTCCAGCCCGAGGGCCCCGCCCCCCACCCGCCCATCGCTCTGGTTTCCGATTGTTCCAGGCAGTTCTCCTCTGAGCATCCATGAAGACCCCAGTGAGAAAACCGCAGCCTCAGGGACTTCTGTGGCCAACCACACCGGCACCCTAAGGGCAAGACCCAAATCCTGGCCAGGCTCTGACCAGTTTCTCAGCCTCCTCTCTTGTCTTCCCGCCCTGCCCTACCAGCTTCCGAAGTGCTGTGCCTTCTCACTTGCAGTCCCCTGTGCCTGGCATCTGCCTGTGGTGGGCTCTGGGTTAGCCACAGTTAGTCCTTGGTCCTTTTCCTCCTGCCTGCTTTATTAGGCCAGAAAGTAGTCACTGCATGACCACCGTTGGCCTACCATTGCCCTGGGCCCTAGGAAAAGCGATGAGAAGATAGACGTGGTGTCTGCCCTTCTGACTCTTAGATTAGACAAATTGGTGATCACCAATACTGCATACCTTTGCAAGATCTAGTAATCATAGCTAACACTTATTGAGCACCGTCTGTTCCACATACTTCGTATATGTTACCTGGTTACAGTCTCAGCCCTACTGTGCAGATATTGTCACTTCCATCTCGCAGATGAGGCTATGCACAGAGATTGAGCTCCCAGCTCAGGGTCAGACAGTGACCAGGTGACACAGCCAAAGTGGGAACCCAAGCCACTTGGGCTCTGGGACCTGTACACCTCACCACTCCATTGTGAGCCTGCAGAGAAGTGGAGGCAAAGGAAGAGAAAACATAACAGGACCCCAGTTTTCATTAGGGTCAGGGGAAGCTTCTCTGAAGAGGTGACATTTTAGCTGAGACCTAAATGAGGAGTTGAGATTCATAAGGTGCAGAGGGCAAGAACTAGATCATGGCTCAAACACAATGCTTTTCAAAACATTGTAGAGCTCTCAAGAAAATAAAAGAAACTTCTGAGTCCATAAATAACCAAGTAAATCAAATAATGGCGTCCCAAAGCCTGTCTGCTGAGCAGGAGGTAGGTGTGGAAGCCAAAGTAGTCCTGGGCAGGGCCTGGACTAGTGCTGTGTCTGAAGTCCCAGGTCTTGGTGTGAGTACTCCCAGAAGCAGAGCCTAAGGCAAGGATTGGAGGGCAAGCCATTTATTGGGAGATGCAAGGAGCAACCCTGGGAAGTGGTCCAGAGAGGGAAAGGAGACCAGCAAAGGCATGGTACTGATCCAGTTGCACAGTAGGAGAACTGGAGCCTGACCCTACACAGAAGCTCTGGGAAATGGTGTAAAATATTAGCCTTGGAGTGATCTCGCCCAAGGGATGAGAGAACTAAGGTATTTTTACAGCAACTCCCGAGAGCCATTGATTGAATGCTGCTTTGGAGGGCTCATTCTCCAGTACTTTGTATTGCCACCCATACAAGGCAGGCAGAGTATTCCCCCCTCTGGCACAGAAATGCACGTACTGGTCATTAGAAATTATGCCAGAACACATACAGGAGGTTTAGGATTTGTGGAAGCATTTGGCACTCCTGCCCACAATGTGTGAGCAGGGATCAGATAAAAGGTTGAGCCCTCATAGGGAGACTGTGGGACTAGCAAGAAGAGGAGCCTTCCAAGGTGATATCAAGAAGATCAGGAAATCTACAGAAGAGGCAGAGAGAATCTTTCTTTTTTTACAGAAGATGATTTGTGAATTGGGGTAGTGTGACCTTGGGTAAACTGAAAGTACACACTCTGTCAAAAAGTAGGGGAAAGCTTTTATACCTTGCAGGATTGCTTAGCATACATATCCAGCAAGGGGTGGGAAATCTTATGAATATTAATGAGCATGGGCAAGCACATGTGTGATGAGTATATATGTAACATACAACACCTGTTCATTTTGGGATGTGGCTTAAACGTTAAAATGAGGTGGAATTCAGCTGTTTACATTCAGGACATCTTTTACAGCACATAAAAACCATCTGCTGGCCAAAACCATCTGTAGTGTTTTATCAGGAGAAAGTTACTGAAGTCAGTTTATTGTCCAATCAAAGCTGTAGCTATGGCTGGTAGAACAGGGCTGTGGTCAGTTAATCAGCATCTGATGGTCAAGGAGCTGCAATTGTTTCAATATTGTGTGTCTTAAGGCTAGTGCTTGTTTAGCTGCTAGAGAAAAAGAAAAAAAAAAACCTGTGGCAGCTAGAACACAGTTTATTCTTTAACCATAGGGTGTGTGTGACTTAACCCTTGCCTGGCATGGCCTTCGGTTCTATTTGTAATTCATATCTTATTGTCAAAAAGAATCCATTCTGTAAGTCTTATGATCTCTAGCTTAACAAAAGGAACCAGGGTGGTCCCAGGTCAGTAGTACTCCAGCATGCACAAGCAAAACCATAGCGAATTCTCTCTGGAGAAAAGCAATTCCCAACTTAGGGACTAGCGTTCCCACAGATTTAACTAAATCAAATATGAGTTCAAAATTTAAAAATCAGCAAATATCCAAAGAAAACTAGCCTCCAAAGTAAAACTCAGCAGAAACAATGATAGATTTTAATCACAACAAACTTTTTAAATTGAAGATATCAAATATAGAATGTAAAATTAACCTGTTGCATGTTTAAGATGTATTAAAATAAGGAAAAGGCACTATCAAACTGACCACCATACTTATCTGAAAAAAATAGGACCGCTAGAAATTAAAAGTTTTTTATTGAAATTAAAAGGTCAGGAGAAACCTTGGAAGAATTTTGATAAGTGAAAGAAGCCAATCACACACACACACACACAAAACCCACACATTATACACTTTTGTTTATGTGAAATGTCCAGAATAGTAATATCCAAAAGAGACAGAAGGCAGATGAGTGATTACCTGGTTCTAGGTAACAGGAGAAATGGGAAGTAACTGATAATAAACACTATTAATGAATGAAGTGCTCAAAATCACTAATTTAATAGTGATAAAATGTTCTAAAAATAGATAGTGATGATGGTTGTATAACTCTGTGAATATACTAAAAACCACTGAATTGTATACTTTAAAAGGGTATATTTTATGGCATGTGAATTATATATTAATAAAGTTATTGTAAAAAAACTTAGCAAATGGGTTAGGCAGCAAATTAGACACAACTGAAGAGGGAATTTGTAAACTAGATGATACATCTAAATAAATTTTCAAGAATGTAGGCCAAGGGATAAGGATGGAAAATAGATAAGGGATAAGATAAGAAAAGAGAAGTTAAAATCATAAATTATAGTGTGCAGAGAGCTAATGAAATCTGGTTGAAATCCCAAGTGAAAGAGAGTCGATCATTGAAGAGATTATGCCTGACAGATAGTATTTCAGAACTGATGAAAGGTAAGTATTCACAGAGAAGCACAACACATACTAAATATAATAAATAAAAAGAAAATGTATACCCAAATACAACATAGTGAAATTGCACATCACCAAAACCAAAAGATTTTTTAAATAGCCAAAAATAAAAGGAAGATCAGCTCTAAAAAACAGCAGTTAGACTGACAGCAGAATTTTAACAGCAACAATGAAAATCCAGAGAGTGAAATACTATCTTTAAAGTGTTCAAAGGAAAATATCACGAAGAATTATGTACACTATTTTCCAAAAATAAGTGCAAAACAAAATTTTCAAATAAGTAAAGGTTTAGAAAACAACATATTAGCAAGAAAATAAATAGGCCAATTTAAAAATGGACAAGGACCTGAATAGACATTTCTCAAAAAAAGACACACATATAGTGATCATATATTTGAAAAAAACTGCTCAACATTATAATCATCAGGGAAATACAAATTAAAAACCACAAAAAGATATAACCTCACACCTGTTAAAATGACTATTTTCAAAAAGATAAAATATGACAAGTGTTGGTGAGGGAAGTAGATCAAAGGGAACCCTTGCACACTGTTGGTGGGAATATAAATTAGTACAACCATCATGGAAATCAGTATGGAGGTTCCTGAAATAATTAAAAATAGCTACCATATGATCCAGCAATCTCACTTCTGGGTATATGAGGGGGATTCCCCAAAAAACCTGGAATTTATTTATAAAAAATTGTGTATTTATTCTTACATGTTTAAACTTCAGTCACCTTCCAAGTACACTCCATTTGATGCAATACACCTATCAAAATGCTTTTTCCACTGTTCAAAACATTTTCTGAACTCATTAATTTTGATGCCTTTTAGTGCTTCTGCCATTTTGTTTTCATCTTTTCCACACCGACAAAAATTTCTCTTTGAGGACTTTTTTCATCCTGCGAAACAAAAAAAAAGTCGCTCAGGGCAAGAGGGGGTGAATAGGGAGGGTGGGGTATGAGGGTCATCATGCTGGTTTTGGTCAAAAACTTCTGAACACTCAGCGAGCTGTGGGCTGGTGTGCTAGTGAGTCATCCATCATGAAATGGGCAAATGCATTGAAAAAATCTCCAAAAAAAATTCACTGAAACCAAATGCAGCCTCTCACAATGCTAGCTGGTACACTGATGCCGATGTATCACTTACCTGGAGGGGAAGCCTGTGCCTCAAGGGGCCCATCCTCCAAATAATAATTTTGGGGGTTTTTGGGTCCCCCCTTGTGTATCCAACGAAGTTGAAATCAGTACATCAAAAGAGATATCTGCACTCTCATGATCATTGCAGCATTGTTCACAATAGCCAAGATATGGAATCAACCTAAGTATCTATCAGTGGATAAGTAGGCAAAGAAAATATAAGATAGATATAGATACATAATGGAATACTATTTGACCTTTAAAAAGAAGGAAATTCTGTCATTTGTGATAGCATGGATGAACATGGAGGACATTATGCTAAGTGAAATAAACCAGACACAGAAAGACAAATACTGACTAATCTCACTTATATATACGTGGAATCTAAAAAAGTTGAAGGCTGGGCACAGTAGCTCATGCCTGTAATCCCAGCACTTTGGGAGGCCAAGGTGAAAGGATTGCCTGAACCCAGGACTTCAAGACCAGCCTGGGCAACTTGGTGAAACC